TTTGTTTGACTGTATTGGTGTACACAACTCTTGGGGATGAGCTGAAAAAATATGATTATTTATTTGGGAATTTTGGGAGATATAGAAACACACACTTCCTGGAGAACCAATCTAGGAATACATTCTTTGGGATGCTTTTTACCAGTATCTCCTTCCCCTTCTCCAGTGGTTAGAAAATGGTTGTTATGCCCTCCCAAATGTGTAGTCGATGCCTCATTTGCAATTTGAATGAAGTGGCACATCTTGTTCTAGCTGGGACATGTACAACCTAAAGCACTGGTGTTTCACAGCCTCTGTTTATTTCTGTGGGACTCAAGCATAAGCCCAATGCCAGGCCACTGGCAGTCAGCCTTGAAAAGTACGTACAAGGAATGATGCTTGTGTGTAGTTCTTGGCCTATATTCGTGCATAGTTAGAGAAGGAATTCAGTTTTGTTTCAACACAGGCATAGAAAGCATACCAAGAAAGATCCTGGTGGGAACATGTGCTCAGCTTGCTAAATACCATTCCTTTCCCCCTCAAATATTAGTAGTTGTAGCACAAGACCAAAGCTTTGAAAGACTACAGATCCCACAATGGCTGGACATTCAGAAAAGTTTGCTAATAAAACAAAGTCACTTTCCTAAGCTGCATAAAACCGACTGGGTTCTTAATGTTTTAAAGAGTAGAAGGAGTGGCTGTCTTAGCAACAGGAAAGCTATCTGGAGTTTGTTGGTCTTTGAGGGAATGCATTGTATTCTGATGCAATGCAAACACAGCAGCCTTTTCATCCTCCTTGCCCCCAAAGCAATGGAACCTGCCAGATTTCATATTTGGAAAAGTGAGAGGCCTTCTAGTTTGGTGCAGTGAAGCTGTGCTATCTCTGTGTTAAATATTTGCTGGTAAAAACATTGGACTAGTCTGCATACCTAACCAGTATGAATATTTTGTTGTTCTAAGTTGGCATGCACAGTTGACCTACTCACAAAGTGAAATCATCAAGGCCACTCTATCTTGTTTTACTTAAGGCCATCAAAACTCCCCTCCCCTCCCCCCCCCCCACCAAAAGAACAGGAGAAAAAGTGGAAATCATGGCTTATTATCCAGGTGTAACCGTTTTCATCTCCATTCTTTCTTTCCCTTCTTGTAATCACTCTTGTCTTTTTTCCATATGTCAGTGCCTCTTAAACTAATATGTGAACCTGGCCATTTTAAGTGCCAGGGTATTTATGCTCATTGGCTGCAGTTCTTTCTTCCCTGGAAACTCTTCAGGTAATAGCAATAGATGGCCGAAAGATTGATATGAGACCCTAGACTACCATTTAAGTAGTAGTGATATATATTATGAATATTTAAAATAAGGACTTTATCAGATCTTTCCCCAGAAGCAAAATACATTTTGACTACAGCTCCTAGAATTCCATAACTAACATGTTCACTGACCATTTAGATTTGAGAATTCTGGAATTTGCAATCCATAATGTGATTTTAACAAACTGTGGTTCTAATGTCTGTTAGCAAGCCATATACTGGTAGCATTTCACAGTGGTACAAAACAGCTACCTACAGCATAGCAGAAACAAATTACTGCAAGTTACAGCAAACCTGAGAGGATAGTGCTGATAGCCTTTTGAAGCATCATATTGAATTCCAGGAGACCAGGAAAGAAATTTTGCATTCCTTATAGCATATTCTAGTGCAGGGCTTCTTTATCTTTTCCCGCCTACAACTGTTTTCTGTCCAAGAAAGTGTTACATGACCCCAGCTAAATAGGTATATAAAATAGGTATAAAATAAAACATTTACTGAAAATAAATCAGCACTTGCACAGCTTGTTCAACAGACTGGTTTTCCTTTCTATAAAGTACAGTTGAAACATCTTCAGCAGAATCCACTGTAAACACTGCACACTGCTGCTAACAGATTTCTGTTATGTATTTGTGTTATTTATTGTTGCCAATTTTTTCATGACCGCAACATTGGTCTAAGGAGTTTCCCATTTGAGATTGGGACCAATAGTGTATGAAGTAATGTTCCAGGGCATGCTCTCTAGCCCTGGCTGAAGGCTAAAGTAAATTGTATTGCTAGAACATGGCCATACAGCCCGCAAACCACACAACACCCTAAAGTCAATTGATTTTTGGCTTCCTAAGGTGAAAGCCTCTTAGGATGAACTCCCCTTTCCCCAACTTTGACCCCAGAATATTTTCATGGGCCTGTTTGCAGGTCCTTCACAATTCTTTAAATGGGGTGTTGCAGCTCTCTGAAGACATTATGTGTGTGTTTTTTTTAAGAGAGTGTGAATGTACCATATTGATTTCATCTGATCTGCATTTTAGTTGTTTTTTGGACCAAGAATCATGAAACATTAGTTGCCCCTTGTGCCTCTGTGTTACACATAGAACATCTGTGTTGCACACAGAACATCTCAGAAGCAAGAAAACAACTAGCTAATTGTCTAGATAAAAATTCTGCCAGCAGGATGTCACATTTAATACAGATACAAAAAGATGAGGCAGCCAGTCTTAGTTGTGTTCTTATGTTTACATGCTGAGATAATAGCTGAGAAACACCTGGGAAAGAAGGTGTAACAACATGAAGAAATTGTAAAAGGCAATAGCTACCTGCCAGTGTCTTTCCTTGCCCTAAAAGACTTATGAGTGAAAACTCTTCTTGGAAAAACTGCAGTTATCATGTAGCACCCTCTATACAGGAAGGGGCTGTGCATGTTTGCCATCTTTCTTTTAATCAGGTGTGAGGATCATGCCCCCCACCAGATGTGGTTGGATTTCAGCTTCCACCAACCATAACCAACATAACCAGAGGCAAAGAAATTGCAGTCCATAAACTCTAGAGAAGGGGCAGCATGGTCTCCAACTGTGCCTGAAACCATCTACATAATCAGTACCAGTACATTACACTATGTAACAAAATTTGAAAAAAATATTCTGGTTTGAAAGTGTTATTTCCTGTTTAATTTTGCAGTACTTACATTGAAAGTAGTTGTTATACTCTAGAAACTTCATTTTTGTGACTGCCACAAACTATGTTGAATTGGTTGAGACCCGATGACATATTCATTGAAAAACTTCAGCAGAATGTGCTGCAGGATATCCCACAAAAACAAAGTATTTGCAATTTAGTTAACCTTTTCCATGTTTTTATGATAGACCTAATTAGGAAATGGCATTTATTATCCAGGAGCAAAAATGGTGTTGCATAGTGTTATCAGAATAATAGGTAAGTTGCTTTCTTATGAGCAAGTACTATTTATTTATTTTATTTATTTACATTATTTCTACCCCGCTCATATCAGCCCAGAGGCGACTCATAGTGGCTTACACAATCGGCACAATTTGATGCCATAAAAGGACATACATTGATAAACAAAAGAACCATTATAGTGCAATTAGACATAAGACAGTGCATAATAACAATATTAAAAGCTAAAAACTATATCCTCTCATTCAAGTCCTTATCCGTTCCATCGTCTTGGGCCGTTCCTGGGTCATTTTCCAATTAAAGTTTGTCTATTTATTCGGAGCCAAGTTTTTACTCTTTTCCGAAAGGTCAGGAGGGAGGGAACTGATCTAATGTCCCTAGGCAGGGAGTTCCACAGCCAAGGGGCCACCACAGAGAAGACCTTGTCTCTCGTCCCCACCAGACGTGCTTGCGAAGTAGGCGGGATAGAGAGCAGGGCCTCCTTGGATGATCTCAAATTCCTAAGGGTTCGTAGGAAGAGATGCGTTCAGATAGATAAGCTGGGCCAGAACCGTTTAGGGCTTTATAGGCTAAAGCCAGCACTTTGAATTGAGCCCGGTAGCAAACTGGCAGCCAGTGGAGCTGGTTCAGCAGAGGAATTGTATACTCCCTGGAGTTGTATGCTATTAGTTGCAGCATACACTGTTTCCTAGATGCAATGCTTGATCATAGTATAGCAACTTGCTCAAAGGGCCACATGCATTCATGCTAATTGATTAGTCTTTACTTGAACAGATGACAGCTTTTTGTAAAGATGCACTCAAGCCAAACACTTGCAGAGGCAATCCCTACAATTTCATGTCTGTAATATCTGTATTTTTTTTTTTACTATAATCTCGTTAATCTGTCCTGTTAAAAAAACATTTAAACACTGAGAGAGTACCCCACAAATCCCACTGCTATAACCCCATGCATCACCGGTCAAAAACCTTTGCTTCTAAATATAGAAGTAGCTGTGTAGTATGTTCTTTGTGTCAACAGTGTGCTCCGTGTAAAGGCGTTTGAGACAACTATGCTCATTCTTCAGCTTTGCTGTCATTAGAAGATGCATTGTGTTAGTGTACATTTCAATCAATTTGCATTTCTTCCAAGCAGCCGTGACTTTCAGAAGCTAGTATGCTGGATTGTGCTATATTTTTCTTTTGAAGAAAAAAAGCGGCTCAAATATGAGGGAACATCATTTTGTGTGACCGTTGTTTATCCCAATTGAAGCAGCACTGGATAAATTAAAAAGGTTCGAATTCTTAGCAAATTAATATGAAACTCATCAGACAGCTTATGCAAACATCTATTGTTTTCTTGTATTAGTCACTGAGTACAGCATGGTGTTTTAAAGACAATGTTTGCTTGTTCAGCAGTTAGCATAATATAATGTAAGAATGTGCAGTGGGAGGTGGTGGGCTTCTTTGGATATCATCATATTGTTGAAAGTGTTCATTCCATTATTTTGTTCCATGATAAAAAAAAGTGATGTGTTTGTAGAAAACAGAACAGAGCTTTTGTTTGAACCAGGAATGCTATTCTGATGACAGTAGTTTATATTTACAGGTCTCAGCTAATTTTAATTATTATGTGGTGATACTCTTCCATTGAGTCTTATTGATGACATATACAAAATATGGGGGTGGGGTGCTTCAAAGTTATTCAAATCAAAATCAGGAGTTGACACCTGCAAATCTTTGTTTCTTGTGTGAAGTACTTTTGAAAACAGTTTTAAATGTTTGACAATATTTCAACTGTAATCTTCTTTTGTTTTTCAGTCCCTCAGAGGGAGTTCGGGAAGACCTCTAGCAGGTGCTGTCAACACTGATGAGAGATCTTGTATGTCAAGGTAAGTATCATTTCAAATTCTTTCTGTTTTTGTTGATGATGTTCTGCTGGCTCATCAAGTTTAGAACTATCAGCTCTGAGTGAAACATCTCTTGAAGACCTCAGGCCAGGTCCTTCTAACTGCAGGTGTGTGTGTGTGTGTGGTGTGTATTCATGCCTTCAAGTTGCCTGATGATGTATAGCAACCCCATGAATTTATTAAGGAATACTTTGAAATAGTTTGCAATTCCTTCTTCTGAAATATAGTCTATGGCATTTTGGTTGGCAGTTTCCTAGGCAAGTACTAAGCAGAGCTGACCTTGCTTGGCTTCCAAGATCAGGTGGGCTTTTATGATATTTAGGCTAATTTTATATGTGAGGTTTATGAATGCAAGATGTGTTGTATTTTAAGAGGAAAATCCATTTTAAATTATGAAATGTTGCATAAGCTGTACAGAGACAGTATAAAATGAGTCCTTTGGTGGGGCGTTTTGGCAAAAAGTTAAAAATAAAACAATAACCCTTTTTAAAACAAGGTCCCAGTAGTTAATAAAAAAAACAGGATTGAGCAAATTACAGGAGTGATTTTCCTCCCTGAAACCCTTTGGGGCTGCCTGGGTTTCCAAAAATGTCCCTCTCCATAATCAGATTGAAATCCTTTGCAAAAATGGGCTTTTAAGTTAAGCAGTATATGTGGCCTTGCAAGATATTTTAGAGGTAAACTGCTACTCTTGCTGGATCCAAAATAAGCTGCTGACTTTTGAGATGAATCAAAAAACTGTGATCTAGAAAGTATGGAGGGATTGAAGGCTACAACCCAAAACAGCCTTCAGATTGCATGCAACGCCAGGCCTGCACTATGCCTACCACTGGGATAATTGATCAATAAAATATACAGTAGTACGTTATTGTTGTTTTTAGCCATCAAGTCAGTTTTGAATTATGGTGATCCTATGAATGAGAGCTGTTACCTACATTCTTGAGTTAATTTGTCTGCTATATAGCTTTCCTTTTTTCTTCTTGCCTCTCACTTTTATTAGAAGAATCGTCTTTACATGTGAATCGTCTCATGGTATGTCCTACATTAGTATCAGTCTTGTATGGTATGTCCTACAATAGTATCAGTCTTGCCATTTTGGAATTTTTAGGGGAAATTCAGGCATAATTTGGTCTGGGACCCATTATTCGTCTCTTTCTCAGTCCATGGTAACTGTAGCCTTGAAGTAATAGAATCATTCAAATCAGACGGATTTTGCTGAGAAGCTGGGCTAAACATACCCATAACCAAACAGTGGAAACCACATCATCTTATAGTCCTGATATGTATAAATCAGTCTTAGTGATGGTAGTGATTCAGAAGAGAAACTACTGAGCACCAGCAGAATTGGTGGTGGTAGATGGCATTGGCAGAGGATAAGAATGGGAGTGGCACTTCATCTAGCACAGTGGTTCCCAACCATTTTTTTGATGAGGGACCACTTTGGCCAGGGATCACTTGTCCAGGGACAACTCTCTAACATTAGTAGTTTTGATTTTGAGGCAGCGGTGGTTTTGAGGCAACGGTGTAGTAATGGTGAGGCCGCAGACCATATTTTCATTCTTGCGGACCATGGTGGTTCATGGACCACAGGTTAGAAACACTGATCTAGCTATTAGTTCTCTAGGTGTTAGTACTCTGCAGAAGGAGGCAGTGATAAACCATTTTGGAATGTCTTTTACCTCATGATGAGACAGTTGGAAAGGAACCACATTATGATTTCTTTTTAAAGAGGTGTTAGTAAATAAATGATTACTATGCTTTAAGGTTTTCCTGGCTGCTGCCATTGCCTTACTCAGATCTGGAGAAGTGAAATAGATATTTCATAACCATCAGTCACAACTTCTGTCTGCCTTCTGTTCATCTTTGATATAATGCAAATTATTGTTGACTCAGGCCTAAATAAAATATGAAGAAGATGGGCACATCCCAGTTGCTTTTTCATCACTTACAGTATGGTACCCACATACACACTAATGCGAAATAACAGAGGAAAAAGAAGGTGATGGCTCACGAGTCTAGTACTTACGTATTAAATGAATGCACTTTAGCAGGAGGCCAAACTGCATTAATATACCTTCTTGGTAACCTGATAATGTTTCTCTGGCTCCAGGCAAATTTCATTGTCATTGAACTTGCCCAGTAGCTTTCTTGTCAACTACAATAGATATTAATAAACCACGGGGCTAGAGCAAGCTAGTAAAAGTATTGATGCTTACCTATATATATAATGTTCTAAATGACTTTAGGCCAGGGTTTTTGAATGTCCTCTTCCTATCATATCAACACACACTTATGTCATAAACTACTTATTCAATCCTTTTTGTATGTTCCACCACCAAAAAGTAATTCTCTATATAGCTGGAGAGTGCCTTTTCTAAAAAAAAAATTAAGTAAGGAAGTATCCACTGATAACATTTTGGCAGGTAGTGAAAAATGTCCCTTGGTTGCTAATTAGAAATCAAACATTTTAACTCTGTCTGGTTTTCAAGTTTTCTCTTAATTTTATTTTAGTCTTTTGATTCTTTGTTCCCTCTGTTAGGAATGAAATTAAGTGGTCCATCCTCTGTGAAGCTGGGTTGTTTGTCCATCAGTCCACTCTCTGAAGGGTGAAATCAGAGGCAGTAATAATGTTGCAGAAGGAAAGCAGGGGAAAAGATGCTGGCAGGGCATTTGACCTGAGATGACTCATTCAGATAAAAAAGTTCCCATGACAGGGAGAAGTTCCCATGACAAGGAAAGCAAAAATATCCCAGAGCAGTACTGTACTACCTATAGGGAAATTCCTTCACAACCTCAAATATAGGCGTAAGTGAAATGTCCAATATGACCCAAAGCCCAATCACAGGACATTTTTTTTTCTGGAAGTCTCTGGGTTTCATGTGTCAGGATGGGAGAGGTTCTGATGCTAATGAAGCATGAGGAGATGAGAACCCAATATCCGAAAACCTCTTTTGGGCTTGAGAGAACCATTGGATCTCAGCAAAGCAGACACATACTATCATTATAATGTCTTGTGGTCACCCTAAAGCATCTGCCTGATATTTTACAAAAGTAGTCTTTTGGATGTTAGCTGAAGAGCTTTTTGCACTTCACCTCCTCAGTTTTTTTAATCTTTCAATCTTCAAAATCTTCTTAATAATTTTTGAAATTGCATGTTTTATGACTATGTTGTAATTGGTTTTAACTTTTATTTATTGTAAGCTGCCCAGAAAACCGCCTGTTATTACAGAAAATGTAGAAAGTAATTTAAAAACAAACATCTGGCCTATATTTGATTACACTCACAAGTCCATTCTTAAGGTTACAATCCAGGCTTTGGCAGCATAGACTTAAACAACCCACTTAAACTCCCATACATACATTTATTCAATATTGAGCGAGTATCACTGACCTATATCCTAAGGCTGATAGTCAACTGAGTTCTAAGAAGTGCTTGAAGTTATTCAGCTGTTACTCAATTACAGTGTACATGGGCACTCTCTTATAAGATTGAGCCTTTAATATAATGCATTATACTTTGGCCAGCTTTTCCAGCTCAGAAATTCATGGTGAACACAATTACAGAAAGTATATTAAATTCATCTATCAGTAAATAACATGCATTTCCTTAGCCAAGAATGTCATGTTGTTTAACCTTAGTAATAAACAACTTTGGAGTTCACTTGGTTCTACTAAGACTCTTGAGATGAATTGTATGTTTATGAGCTTTGCAGTCCACCTAAAAGAATCTGTTTAAAACAGGTGCGCTGTCTGGTAAAGGCATCTGCTGACCAAGCAACAAGAGGCCTAATTTAACTAATGGGAGATTTTGAGATGTATCAATAAAACATACAATCTTGTATGCATTTAATTTGAATGGCCAAGCTTTGGGTATTCCTATATTGCTAAGCTTATTCCTGCTCTCTTTTAGTTCATGGATGGTTGTGCAAGTGATGTTCTATTTCAGAAAACAAGTCTGTGTCGGACAGGATGCATGCATTCAGATACTTGTATCATGGTGTAACAGAGATACGAAGGAATTTTGTTCCTTCCATTGTTCTTCTTGACATGGTGTAAACTGCAAATATCCTCATTTAATTATTGTTTCGATTATTTGAGGGATTAAAACACACACACACAATGTTACCAGATTTGGAATAAGCTTAAATTTTCAACCAACTTCAAACTTGGTTTTCAGCTTCTAGCTTGTTCTGTACTTGGTAGTTATAATTCCCCAGTTCACGTGCTAAGACGGGTTGTCATAGCTAATTGAAAATTTTCTGGTTTATTTCAGTGTAGTAGACAAAGAGGGAGAAGGTTGCACAAGGCTTATTAAACCGAATATACTGGTTCAGGTCTAATCTGTATGACTTGAGCCAAACACTATGTGAATCCATGTTTCTGAGCTTACAGGACAGAACTTTGAAAAAAGAATACGTTTTTGTACTACAGTTCTGAGAATCTCTTATTCCACCATGACCTTTGGCTGTGGGATTCTGGCAGATGCTGTATTATGTGATTGTGTTGCCTTTTAAACCATTGATCTGTGGAAACGAATTTGCTTAATAATAAGCTCCACTGGTACTTTCCTTAAAATGTTTAGCTTCTCCTAAGGATTAAATATAGAGCTTCCTGTTTCGTTCTAGCTCTTCTGGTATATCCACAGTTGAGAATTCCCCTCATCTAGTTCCAGGCTAAAACTGTAGCCTTGCAAAATGAAGGAAGTGAATGTTGCTACTCAGAGTAATCTTTAAGTAGAAGTGTAGATTCACCGAAACTTTAAGTGCTCTCTCAGTTTAACTAATTTACTGTTACACATATCACTATCTTCATGTATACAGAAACACAAGAGACATCTGGAGCAGTTGTGCAAAAAAAAAAATGCTGCAGTGCTAACCATGAATTTCTTCATGGTTATGAATGTAAAAGCAAACACAGTGGACATGACGACTGTTTGTTTCTCCTCAATTGCAAAGGCGATAGCAACTCAGACATCCACCATT